TTATATAAATAGAATCATATAGTACGTACTTTCTTTTCTTTCTTTCTTTTTTTTTTTTTTGAGATCTGGCTTCTTTCTGAGCAATCTTACTATTTTTATCTCTATGACAGACACCAGGAAAAACATTCCCAGGATGAACAACACTGAACAACTTTATGTTTTGAGCGTCAACATTAAATAAACAATTTTACCACTTTAGATATTTAGGGTTTTTTGTGAGGAGGAACAGATATAGTAAGTCCTCCCTTAATGTTATTGATAGGTTCTTGGAAACTGTGACTTTAAGCAAAATGACGTATAGCATGTCCTTGTATAATGTCATTTTGTTCAGTGTTGTTTGTTATAACATTAATGAGAAAAAAAGCTGCAGTATCTAAGAACCTATCGATGACATTAAGTGAGGACTTATTGTACAGAGAGGGGAAGAAAAGGTGGGGTCTGTGTTTTGGTTCAAAGTTACTGGGTGCTGATTCATCTATTTAGCCCGTTAGAATCAACATCATCCTAGCAGCTAATGTTTATTGAGCACTTGCAACATGCCAGGAGCCTTTCTAAGTATTCTGCATGTGCTATGACATTTCATCCTCATAATTACTCTATGAGATAAGGACTATTATTATCTTTATTTTACAGATAAGGAAACTGGGGCTCCAAATCATTTGCCAGTGGTGATACTGCTAATACATGAGCCAGGGTTTGAAGCCAGGCTTCCAACTCCTGAGTGTGTCTTCTCAGTGCTGCATTACACTGCCTTTTGATTAACAGTTTTCATTTACAAAAGTCTGCCAACTGCCAGGCCCTGTGCTAACTGTTTCACATGTAGTATCTTACATGTTCCCCATAGCAATCCTAAGAAGCTGGTACTACTGATATGCCCATTTAAACAGGATAGAATTGAGGCTCAGAAAGATTAAGCCACTTGCTTAAGGTTATATGGCTGGTCATTGATAGAGCCACAATTTAAACCAGTTGTGATTCACTTGCCCATCTCTTAATTACTAAGCTGTATTGTCAATGTATTAACGTATTGGAAGTTGCTGTCAGTCAAGTTGGAAAGGAATAGAATATTTAAGGAGATTTTTTTTTTTTTTGAGACAGAGTCTCACTCTGTCACCCAGGCTAGAGTGCAGTTGCGTCATCATAGATCACTGCGACCTCAAACTCCTGGGCTCAAGAGATCCTCCTGCCTCACCCTCGCAAGTAGCTGGGACTATAGGTGCTTGCGACCATGCACAGATAATTTTTTCTATTTTTTTTAGTAGAGATGGGGTCTCACCCTTGGTCAGGCTGGTCTTGAACTCCTGACCTCAAGCGATCCTCCCGCCTCTGCCTTCCAGAGTGCTAGGATTACAGGTGCGAGCCACCGTGCCTGGCTTAACGAGATTTTTGAGGTTTATTACATGTTAGCCAGATTCAGGCTAATGCCAATATTAGAAAGGATTTTATTATAAGAAACGTACAAAGCATTTGTGAGAAACATAAAATTAGTGAGCCTTAGAGTTAGAATCCAAACTTTCTCCCGTTACGCATGAGGCAAAGGAAATGCAGGGAGGGGTGGTGTGGCAGAGCCAGTGGACAGTTCAGCTCCCTGACTGAGTGAGCCTGGCATACCTACCCGTCCCTCCTCTCCCCACACCACCTGTGGGACACTCCTTGTTAGGGAGAAGGTGCACTCAGGAAGGCCAGGGTTCTGCTCCTGACACCGCCGCTTGCCTACTGTGTCAGTTGGGCATGAGATTTACCCTTCTGTACCTCATTTACCTCCTCTGTTAGCTGAGGACAGTAAAAATACCCACCTTTTAAGTAGTTAAGTAGTACATGTAAAGCACTTAGTTCAGTGACTAATACACAGTGGATACCTAGAAAAGGTAGCCATGATAATGATGATGATGATGATGATTATGATGAAGAATTCATATTATGTTGATTACTATGACGCTTATTCTACTCCTGTTGGGTTCAAGTCAAAACAGAAATTTAGCACATGACTGAAACAAATTAACCCCCAAAATTAGTTGAAAGTTAGTTCTAGATTATCTGATGAGGATCCAAATATAACTTCTGAGATCATTAAAAAGCTTCCTGAATAAAGGCATGAATGAATAAGCAATGAGTTCACTGAGTAAGAAAAGGCAAGTGGCAACGTTACAAAGTGGTAAGAGAATTTCAGAATGCAGAGAATTATGGAACTTCAGAGAAGTCAATCAGTTTGAAAAGAGTCTCAAGTTAGTTCTATTTCTAATCTTCTGCTTCATAAAAAAGAAGACGAGACAGAGCACTCAAGTGGGAAAAAGGATGTACTTTAAATTTCATTGTTTAAACATTTTCTCAGAAAACAAATTACCTTTAGTTATTCAGGTCACATAAAAGTTGTATGTTGTTTCTTTCCCTGTTTCTACATTGACCACTGATACAAAGAGTCAGTTCATCATCTGTTCGTGCACTTACCTAACTGCACGTCGGTCGTGAATCGCAGTCTGTGGATCATGCTGACTTTGAATGACTTGTAATGGTGGCTGCTAAGCATATCCTGTACTGTGGCTATGTCAATTTGAGAATCCTCCTCAAAAACCCCATCTGCCCTTGAACCTAGGGAGGAAAAAGCAGTTTAACACATAAAGATACATGAAGCTTGGCAAATGGTGTTTGCTTAAAATGCTTTGGGATAAATTAAAATAATATGGGCTATTTAATTTGGAGAAGAAAAGGCTGAGTGATGACTTAATAATGCCATTCCAGTAAACAAGAAGATGGCAACATATTAATCATTCAACAATTAATTCCACAAACACTGCCTATTCTATGGCAGGCCCTTGGCTGGGTAGCAGGGATATAAGAAGGATAGAAAAAGTCCCCCTCACTCTCAGCAAGAAGCGCAGTGTCTACAAGAGTAAGTCAAAACCACAAGAGCATGGGTGCTCTTGTTTCTTTTCCTAAATGTGATTTTCCTGATCATAAAAGTCATCCATGTTCCTTGAAGAATCCTGTCCTTCCCAAGGTTCCCCAACCGTCTCTTTAACAGCTTCCAGCCTGGCATCCCACAGCCCCCACTGGTTCAGGGAGTGCCTGCTGGCAGTTGGATGTCTGTGACAGTCTCCTCACTGGCCTTCTGGCCACCAGGCTCTCTCCGCAATCCAGCCATCACAAGACATTTCCCATCCACCTTTCTAAAGCCTTCATCCTTCATTCATTCACCAAATGCTTAGAACCCTGTGCATGATGTGTGACATTGGAAAGAAACAAGAAGACTGGTGCTCAAAAATCTTCTGTGGCTTCTCACAGCCTCCTGTATGAAGCATACTTTCCTCCGCCAAGCAATCAAGGCAGCCTATAATCTGTCTGAAACATAACTTTCCAATCTTTCTTGTCACTTCTCACACATACCTTCTCTCAGCTGCTCCCAAAGCCCTCAGACTGTGCCGAGAGGTCTAGGATTTTCTGCTTCTGGGCCCTTGGCCTAGTACACCCCTTCCACCCTTACCCTAGACCTGTCAAAATCCCCCGACCCCTCCCTGGGCTAGCTCTAACTCTCCTTCTTCCATGAAATCTTTTCTGATGGTTCTGGCAATGAATTCCACACAAGTTGGCTTATACTGGACCCTGGAGCAAGGTAGACCTGGGCTTAACACCTAAGTTCTGCTTCTAATTTGCTATGTGATCTTAAGTAAGTGACTTTACCTTTCTGAACTCTAGTTTCTGCCACTTACAGAATGTCAAAATTTATGTAAAGAATCTAATACATGTTTAATAGCTGCCATAATTATTTTTCTTCTGCTCTCAGAATCATATTCAGCCTTGCACTAGAATTGTCTGTGGTTGCTCTGTCCTAATTTAGAAGCTTTGTGAAAGTCAGTAAAATTTTGTATTCATCTTTATATCTTCTGTAAGCAGTGCAGGTAACTGGTATCCTCTCACTAAATTTTGCTAAATAAGTAATAGCTAATATGGGCCAGGCTTGGTGGCTCACACCTGTAATCCTCACATTCTGGGAGGCTGAAGTGGGAGAATCTCTTGAACTCAGGAGTTTGAGACCAGCCTGAGCAAAAGTGAGACCCCCCGTCTCTATTAAAAGTAGAAAAAATTAGCTGGTGTGGTGGTGTGTGCCTGTAGTCCCGGCTACTTGGGAGGCTGAGGCAGGAGGATCGCTTGAGCCCAGGAGTTTGCTGTGAGCTAGGCTGATGCCACTGCACTCTAGCTTGGGCGACAGAGCAAGACTCTGTCTCAAAAAATAAAAAATAAAAAAAATAAAAATAAAAGCTAATATGTATGAATCCTTACCATATTTCAGGCACAGTGCTAACCACTTTACACATGTCACTGCATTTAAGCCTTATGACAACCTTGTAGGTCCCATAATTTTCCATATTGTACAGATGAGGACTCTGAGGCTCTGGGAGGCTAAGGTACATACAGAGGTTACACCAAGCAAAGTTAAACCATCTCTCAGTCCCTAGAGTTTGAAATGCGGACTTCTGAAGGTGCAGGTGCAGGTGCTGGTGCCATTTGCCAGTGTGGGCGGTGGGGCTGAGTGGGGGGGGCACCTGCCAAGCAGAGGCCAACCAGAGGACAGGGGTTTTTAGACTTTGTGCTGAGCACCTAGAGATGGTTCCACAGGGAAACCCAGAGAGAACTCCTCGGGGCAGAGCTGGGGAAATGGAAAACTCTAGATTTGGGCATAAAACCGGAAAATTCTATTATGTAAGTGGTAGCCTGACAATAACATGCTTTTCCTCCCCATAGTTGTTGCTTACAGGGCAAGCTTTTTAAGTCAAGGTTGGTTTCTGATGCTTTCACATTGAACTCATTTATTCAGGAGTTGTGTGTTCTATTTCCAAACACTACAGCAATTCCCAGCTTGGACCATTCTAGCACCTACAGTGATGTCTTCCCCTCAGTAAGGACGCAGCCTCACATTTTACAGGCCATTCACCGAATGCCTCTGATATAATCCCATCTTCAAGCGTCTTGCACATGCTGTCTTCTCTGCCCGGTCACCCTTCTCTCTACCTCACTTCCTCCGGGTCCCTTCCCTGTTCCTCCTGAAGAGTACAAGATACACTCCAGGGAAACCTTCCCCGACCACAGGCCGCACGTCTAGGTCTAGGTCAGCTCCTTGTCACCACACCCTGCATTTGCCTACAGAACAGCTACCTCAGGTAGTACTTACCTGTCTCTGGCACTAGACTGTAAATCCCAAGAGGGCAGGCATAGGGACTGCTTTACTCACCACTGTAGCCCAGACCCTGCCAGTGCCAACATGTAGGGGTAAAGCAAGAGCTCAGTACAAAGGTACTGATGAATAGCAGGCTCCATGCCACGGGAAGGTGAGGGTCAGAGACGCTGAATGACTTAGTCAAGATCACATCTCTAGGACGCAGCAGAGCTGCACCCAACATCTGCAAGGGCCACTGAGTAACCTGTTTCCTTTCTCTGCAACTCCTGTGATTTTGGATAGAGATGCCATGGTGATGATCGCCACTGTCTCCTGGGTAATGTCCACATCTGAAATTAAGGAGCTGGCTAGGATTTGGAATTTAGAATAATCATTCACTTTCTCCATTCTACATTTTCACTGAAAAATAACTGCCAAAATGTATTTATTTCTATTTTAGAATATTTTATATATGGGAATTATGGAGAACTTTGGTAAAATATTAAGATTCTTTAATGTTTTGAAAATCATTTAAAGCTATCTTTTCTGAGAAAATGCCAGTATTAGGTACAACTTAGCTCTGAGAAAATGCCATTATTAGATACAAATTAGCTCTTTACTAATTAGTATTTTGTAAATATTGCAGGTATTTGATTTGGAAAGAGGTAACAGCTCATTATGCTAAAATGCCAATTACTAAAAAAAAAACCCACACTTAAGATTTTTACATTTTATGATGTTGGATTAAAACCAATTTAAAAATTACTATAACGTGACATATAATTTTTTACTGAGCAATTTCAATGCCAGCTGCTAATAAAGCATCTTAGCTGTAAATGATAATTCAGATGCTTTTAGATAAAGTGGTGCATAAATATGGCTGGAAATTGATTTAGCTTCTTACAGAAGCTACTGAAGAATGACATATTTTGTTTAATACACCAGCTAATGTAGTCCTAAAAGCTCAAACAAGTGCCAGTTTTCACTCCTAAATTTGCTGTGGGAGATTAATGAAAACTTTATATTTTGCTAAAATGTTAATAATGGGCAGATGAGATGATAGGATTTTAGTAGAGGTCTTAAAGCTGTGGAATAACCAGCAAGACTTGTCAATTTCCTTATATTAATTTTGTTTAAGCCTTATATAGCTGGAGCTGGCTCAACACACTAATGCTTCTTGCACTGACCTTCTACTCTCTGACAGTGTAAATTCATATCCTATTTGAGGATTTAAGTCCCCCTGATACTTGGGTGAGTTCTGAGCCTTGCCCCAGCTGACAAGGGGCATGTCTGCGTTTAGGATTGGAAGGGCAACAGCACCTGAGGGAGTAGAGTAGGATCAGACCTGCACTCACTTCCAATTCATGTTGCTCACTCCAAAGCAGGGTATGTGCTGAATAAAAACAACTGCTGGTTTTGGAGTTCTGGTGCCACCTCTCAAAGTAGGCCCAGGAGTGCCGCTGCCATGAGGGGGCACGTCTGTGTGTCCATGCAATGTGCAGCTCCTTCTCTCCCCACGCCAACAGTATGCTAGACTGTGGCACACACTGGTGAGGATAAAGCAGGCCTCCTGATCTGCAGGAGCTTACAAACTAGCTACAGGACACAAAGGAAACAGTACAAGGGAGAAAGAAGTGCCCAGTAAATGGTGCATACAACAGACACTTTGAGGACAAATATTTGAAACAAAGCATTATACAAAAGCATGCTTTTGGACCAGAAAAGTTCTCTGACTTTGTATGTATAACTTTACTGTTTGTATCCTCTGGAAAGGGGTGAACCCAAACCACACATGAAAGATGCTTGGTATTGTACTATTTGCATATTAAAAATTATTACTGTACTATGAACTTTACATTAAAAACCCACTTCTGTTCAAGGCAAGATATTTTTAGCTACTCAAAGTTAAAAGTAGAGAAAACCAAAACATCTTAAAAATAAACACACTAAAAACAAAACAAAAACCACTTCCTAAACTGTTAATTTAATTGAAATACAACCCTTTGGTATTTTGTTAAATTAGCAATTAAAAAGGTCACAAGCAATTAAATGAAACAAAGCCACATTGTGTTCATCTACATTAATGCTGCACTGGGTCTTCTCATCGATGACAAGACAAATTGTAATGGTGCCTTCAAAGACTTCACAATATATTTTGTCAAAGTCAGGACTGTTAATGTCTCTCTATGTGCCATGGATTACCATAATGTATCGGGTCAAAATGCTCAAGCTGTAATAATTCAAAGATGTATTGTGATAGATCAAATTTTGGGGTGGAGCCTAATAGTGACTTGAGCACCAGAGCTCAAATGGACTGATGATGAGGCTCTGGAAGAGTGTGTTCGTGTTCAGTGTGGACAAGCAGAAAATCCAAGGAGGAAGCAGCTTAACTCTCTGGAGTAAGAAATCAGGAAGGAGGAACAGAGGAATGAAGCCT